TTGCCATTGCGTTTCGGATTCAAACTGGGTAGCTGCCGAGGAAAAACTGCGCGGGGGCAGTATGCGTTACGCACTGTTTAGGGATTTTGCCGAGCTTACTTCCACAATTCCCACAACAGCTGGACATGCGGCAGCTCGTCTGTGCACGGGTTAGCGCTCCGCAGGCGGCCGATCGGTGGCCGTCCGAACTCTCAGGCTCCAGCCCAGCAGGGAGCTGCAGAAGAAGCGGTCACAGTCGCTGCAGGCTCCAGTCGGCGAGCCCCTCTTCACCATGGAGAAGCCTCTCGTGGAGGCCCTTTGGGGACGTCAGCTTGCGGATGCATCTCTCTTTTCGGCACAGGCATGGCCTGGAACGGACAGCACCGGGGCAGCGTACTCCAGCCACCTAGACCTGTGCCTTCCTGAGCAGTGAAGCAACCGCTGCTGCTGTAATTGTGCTAGCAGTCAGGTGGAACGATGAAGAGAAGAAGTCCAGCGACTCACATGCAAACAGCTGCTTAGATTGGGCAGGAATGTAGCCTCTGCCTGTATCTGGAGCGCCTTCTAAGGTAATTGTTACAGTCATAGGAAGACATATCCTGTTCAGAACCAACTCACGCTCAAGCTGTCCTCCAACATAAGCTGATCTTGAAAGAGCTATAAGGAGGGTTTCAGGTGACAATTCCGAGCACCGTAGGGGCAAGAACACCCTTTGCTTCGCTGTGGCAACGGGGAACAAGTTTCTAAATTTCCTCTGAAAATCAACAGCCTCAAGAAATCAATACATTAATGATCGACTGCTTGGCCGTCACGTTCAAAGGCCAGAGTGGATTGTTCCAATTGAATCTGAAGGCTGGTACAAGAAGACCCTGGAGCACTGGGCAGCTCAGGCTCGGCAGAGAGCCACTGAACTGCGTTTCGCGCCGTGTCGGGAAGGATGCCACTGTGAACGGTGTGTTGGGTGGCTTCCCGGAGACCAGCGAGCCAGACCTGCGGGAATCCAGGCACGTCGGCGTGCATTGTCAGAGGACCAAGCGCCCAAGGGTGAATGTGCTGAGGAGATTCCTGCATCTGGTGCGACGGCCGTAGCGAGCTCAGCAATCTCAGCAGCTTGCAGCAGTTGCAGCTGTGTCATTCGCAGTACCTGAGGACGGACCCGCCAAGCCAAAGAGGGACGGTCTTGGATTGCGGAGCGGGAATTGGACGAGCCATGGCCTCTGCAAGTGCAGAGTTTTGGCATGCAAAAGCGCTGCATTGAACAAGGTAACCGAAGGGCTCCTGGTGCATGAGCCGTGGGCTTAATGTCGTGAATATATGACTATTGTTGACCTATGGTGGGGCAGGGGCAAGTCAGGTTCGGCCAGGTTGACCTTGTCGAGCCCAATGCGCGACTGTTAGAAGCGGCTCGCGAGCAGGCGGGGCTTTGTAGGACTAGAGGGGGCCTTCCAGCCGTTTGGCTGGCCATCTGCTCAACGTCAGATTCGCAATGCCAAAGTGGACCGCTTCATCAACAGCTCATTGGAGCAATTCCAGCCCGAAGAGGGCAGGCAAGCACTCGCACCCGCTGATTTGAATCTGCTCTTTCGATGCCGAGTGCAGGTACGACACCATCTGGGCTCAGTGGGTGCTTCTTTATTTAACAGACGATGACTTAGTATCCTTCTTCGAGCGATGCAAGAAGGGCCTCACAAGGCGAGAAGGGAGAGCAAAATTCGTCCTGTTCTCATTCTTGGGGCGAGGAGAGACTGAGCAAGGGCCTGTCCGTGACATGATAGGGATGGCCTCATCTTCGTGAAGGAAAACGTGGTGCTGGAAGGGTGTGCCAGATGCGATTATGAGAATCAGAGAATCCATCAACTTCGGCCACAACCGGGGAGAGATTGGCGTGATATCGTTGAGTTGTGTTGCTGGGCCAGGCAATGGATCGTGGACCGAGATGACAACAGCATCTCGAGGACAGATGCCATGTACAAGGACCTGTGACTTCACAACTCTGAAGCATTCTTTCCCTGGAACTTCCAGGGCCGCTTGCCAGGACATCTTCCGAAAAGCTGGTCTGGTGCTGCAGCACGAGCTGAAGCAGGAGGGTCAGACATGGTCAGACGGTCATCGCATCGGAGTAGCATACGTCAGCAAACGGAGGCCGAAGTCCGCAAAAGAGTGATGAAGTTAGGAGCTGTTTGTCAGCAAAAGCAAGGGCAGATGTTGCAGGCAACATGCAGCATAAGTCAGAGTTGAGAAAGCCCGACTCAGCCAGCGGGGCGGAAAACACAACACAGCAGCGACAGTGTAGTATGAGCTGCTGCTGCGCCAACAAGTACCTGAACCTTTGTTCTTCATTCCTCTGACCTTTGCCTGGTGTGTTGGGCTTTCTCTCGCTTCTTTTGCTTCAAGTAAACACAACACTAGTGAGTAAATTGAATGTGTGGCTTAACTAAGCAAAAAGAAAAATACATCACTTCACATGCTCTTTTCATTTCGGGTTTCTCTTTCCGGTTCCTTTCCGTGCTGTCACTGAGCTTAAAAATTTAGATGTGAAGAGAGCAATGTGGTGTAAACTCGTGAAACAAAAAACAGACGTGGGTGGGGATTTTCTTTTGGCAACCGTGGGTCTAGTGTAACAGCCTGGTCCAAGTGGTTCATGAGTGCCTGAGATTTACTGGATTAAGCGAGCCATTTCGCTTGTGTTATTTGCTCAGTTATATACCAGGCACACCATTCACTCATCTTGGTATCTTTGACTTTTGTTGCTGACTCGGAGTCTGCCCGTCATTGCATGTCATCCCATCATCGAGGGTCAGAGCTTGTGCCACTGTCGGCATGTTCCGCCTGGCAGGCGCATTGGCCCTCGGATCTGGTCCCAGTCAAGATGTACGCGCTCAGACAGAGGTAAACTGAGCTGATGCCGATCAAGAGTGCTGCCGTTTCACCTTCGCATGCGTTCGGACTTTGGGCGATGTCGATCAAGCCGTTGAAAAAGCAACTGAGACCAGTGTTGCTAGATGTCTTGAGATGAAAGAGCACTCTGCCGGAGAGTCAAAGGCACTTACCGCCAGTGCTTAGACCACTGCAAGTATGCTGTTGTATGCTGATGTGCTTCACGTCATGGCGCGACTAAGCAAGCTCGTGTTGGAACTAGAGCACGAAACAGTCCCCCCAAGAAGCTGCCTGCTGTTACCGTCGTGGCGGGGGGGTCTACGAAGTGCCTATGGTGTTTAACTTGTTATGCGAGTACACATTTCTAGTGACAACAGAGACTGATAGCCACCAGTGCGATGGCTTCGAGCAGTGGAGAAGCTTCAAAGCTGACATCAAAGGGGTACCAGGCATACAGGAAGGCCAGTAGTGGTTGCAGAACTTCACGTTGGATGACAGTGGGCTGGACACGACCTTTCGGACAATGCACATCATGGACAGCTTCGTGCGACAGGCGAATGACCAGACAAAGGGCGCCAAACCGCCACAAGGCATTGAGGGGGCAATGGCCCTGACCAGCCCCAACGACTTGAAGGCCACTTTGTAGAAGTTGTCTGCATGAACTTAAGAGTCGTAAGAGCAATTGCGACTTGCTTACTCGAAGGTGGCTTTCGAGATGCTGGATGCAAGCAAAGAAGGGGTGCTTGGAAAGAAGCAGGCCGCGTAGCTCCACAACTAGTAATGATATCAGCATGGAGGTTGGCAGGAGGGTGTTGCCAATGCCGCATGACGTCTCAATCGAGCCCATGGGTCATGTCATGGGCTGCCTGACTACAGATATCCGACCCTCATGCCCCGGAGAGCGAGCGAGAGAGAGATGACCGAGACGCCCGTGAACCGCGGTTGCACGTGCGCGTGCGGAGAAGGGCGGCTGGACATATGATTCTTGGACGGCTCTGTCAATGCCACTGTCAGATCGACTGCACGAGGCCATGAGCATGATCACGTAGGCAGCTTCTTGTGTGGACATCTCGGGCATCAGACTCCTCTGATTCGCAGCGGTGCTCGCCAAACAGTATCTGCCGTAGCGGGCCAGGATTTTCGACCCTGCGTAACGGCACGACATAATTAGGAAGGCGCAGGAACGCGTGGCCGGAAGCATGGACCAGACACTTGCGACGACACTGTTTGTCGCACTAGAGGAGCTGACACCCCGTCCACACAAATGCTGCTTGGTATAGCCACCCGACAGAAGGGTCTGCCTTGAAATAGACCACGAACGCGCCATCGCTCGCGTCTGCCAGGAAGCCGGGGCGCGGTTCGGGCGCAACGTCGCGCTGGCAGCCATGAACGTCGATGTGCCGGTCCACGATGCGCGGCGCATCGAGGTCGTTTGCAACGGCCTGCCGCTATGGCACGGCGCGCAGCTTGCCGTTGACGCCACGCTCGTCAGTATGCTCGTCAGCCCGGTGAAGCCCAGTGGGCTGCACGGCAGTCGCGTGCAGACCGAATCCGCCAAATCGCAGCGCGAGGCGTGCTGCTCGTGGTGGTTGGGGGGGCAGCCGGTGCGTCTGCAAGGCCCAAGAGCGCTGAGAGGCAGCAGCCTAAGGCCGCGTAACTGGCGCCGCGTCATGCGAGGAAACATACAGTAGTGCAGCAATAGCCATGCTGCCTGTAGGTCTTGAACAGACGGGATGCGCTGCAGGAGGCGGTCGTGTTCTGTGCGTTTGAGTGCCAACCAAGCGTTGTTGGACGTAGTCGTCGCTGCCGAAAGGTGTGCCGATGACAGTGAGCTCCTGTTGGGTTGGCGGGAGCGTCCAATCTCCGACCCACCCGGCAGTGTCAGCCTCGCCCTGCAGCGCGGCAATGCCCGGTGCCTCCTCGCCTGCCGCGTTCCAAACTCGCGTTTTGCGGCTGTTGAGTTCGATGCGCGCGTGGGCCCACAATGCCCGCTGGTACGCCAAGTGCAGCTCGTGGATCCGCTCCGGGCTGGCGATGATATACTACGTGTTGTCGAGATACGCAAAGATGTCCTCCCCGTCCCGCAGTTGCTGCTGCGCCTCTTCAAGCACGGGGTGTTGAGCGACCGAGAACAGAGTGGGCATCAGCGGATGTCTTTGTTCTCCGCCCTCCGCTCGCGCGATGCTGTGGGAACATCGGTCCAGGTGTAAGCGCTGGCGGCACCGTAGATCTGCCGAGCGTAAGCGAGCAGCGGCCGGAGCTCTGGGCGGGCATGCAGGGCCGCTGGCATTGCCTGCCGGGGAAACGTGATCATAGGCACCCATTGCGTCCATGGACAGGATCGTTGCACGAGGGTCGATTTCAGTTGCAGCTCTCAGGACGCGTGGCAATGCCTCAGCGCTAGCACGAGTACTGAGGCCTTGCGCGAGCGCCCGCCCCACAAGCCGCCGCAAAGCGTATAGCCTATCACAAGGGCGGATGCCAAGTCCATCAGGCTCTCGCAGAGCGACGATCCTGCCAACACAGATTGCTGCCAGGGCCGGGGCTGGCACGTCGGCTTGCGCAAGGCGCTGCGCGGCGCAGTGCAGGAATTGGCTATCGACCTCGTCGTCCTAAAGGATTCGGAGGTGCTCGTCGGTAGCTCCAGAGGGGCCAGCAGCAGCTCCACGGCTTTCCGGAGGCCGGCAAGGAAGGCAGGCAGCGGGAACGGGCATGGCTTTTCGGGCTGGTAACTGGTGACCTCGGGCGGCAAGGGACCGTACGGTTCGGGCGGGCACCGCACGGGATCCCGGAGCTCGGGGAGAGTAGCGTGCCGTGATGCCACTGATGAGTGTCTTGTGCGTGCGCTTGGGAACGGAGTGTCTCCATGGGGATTGGATTGCCTTGATGTCATCGGTGGTGCTCCAAGAAATGAGTGCTCGACACGTGAACCGCGCTTGCAGCCAAACGATCAGGCTTCGCGCATGCTTCTCCATCGTTCCGCGGGTCAGGCAAGCATCCCCCTTGCGGGACTAGCATTGCGCTGCAGGGCCTTCGCACGTGGAGAGTGGTTGACTCTCCTTCGGGCTGCTGCCGGCACTCACACCTCGCGGCCGCACCCTCCGCCGCCCACGAAGCCGGAACCCACCGCTGCAGCGCCTTAGCCTCGGTGAGCTGTCGCGCTTACCGCAGAGCCCATCGCACCTGCCACCGCAGTCCAAACCAGCCATTGCCCATGTAGACGTGCGATTCCACGAGCACCCACTCGACATGAACATCAGTGGCAGCACACCACATCCAAACTTAGACGTTTGAATCCACGTGGAACCATCGGATCGCACAGTGCGTGGGTTGGCGGCTCCCCCCTTGCTCGGCTCCGAAAGTTGGGAAACTGGAACGAAGCAGCGCCGCGGCTCGTCAGAGCCGTGGCGCGCGTCCGAGCCCAACGGGCGCCGCCGGCGCTTCGCACGGCGTAGGTACTCATACCGCAAGAGTGGCATAGGACGAGGGACGTCGCTTAAGGCATGACCGCCGAACTGGTCGACGAGCCCGCGTCAGGGAGATGTGCCGCAGCGACTTGCAAGGTGGATGCGCAGACGGCGCTGTGAGGTGAGCTGCATGGCCTTCTCAATTCCAGCCATTTCTGTGCTGCGGAAGCCGGCTTGGAGTTGGCGGACACAGGTCTCGGCTAAAGCCGGGGTGCGATCGCCAAGGACAGGAAATGTGCCGCTCAATGCAACGCGAATGTGGCACGCACGCTTGCTAGCCACATGGCGGGGAGAAGCCACGCACACTGCAAGTCTCAGAGGCGAAACAGTCGGCCCAGATGCCTCACGAGTGCGCATCCGGCTTTGCGGATATGCAATGTTGGTGGCCTATGGATGTGCCCGAAACATTCAAGCCACGCTCGGAGGATGGCTTGTTGCCCTGCAACACGTCAGCACCCAGCTCGGCGATTTTGTTGTTTATGAAGCAACGCTTATGGGGGGAGTGCTGTGCCGCGATGCGTCGTGTTGCCGCTGACCCGGACGGTCCTGCACCGCAGCGTGCGACGGCGCCATGCTGCGGGTTGCCGAGGCAATCGATATCAGCGATACGACCTGTTTCCCATCCCGAGTCAACCTGATCACGAATCCCCAGTTAGACGCTCGGTGATGCGACCCCCCTTTTGCCGTGTCGCACACGGCATGGCCCTTCAACAGACCTCCTTGCTGGCCCGCGCTTGCTGCTCCACCGCGCTCTCGAACCGGGCACGGTCGGCCGCGAGGCCCTCTTGCAACGCTCACGCGACTTCCCTGCTGGACAATGGACTGCTTGGCAGCTGACGTCATTGATGCTGCCAATAATCCATTCACAAGCGGCGCCGGGCACTTGCATCAAACATGCGGTGGAGAAAAAATCTTTCTCTTTGGCATGCCGCGACATGCCTCTCCGACTCCTCTCCGTTCTTCCGAGCGAATCCTCGATGAGTTGTACGTGCTAACCATGCGTGAATGTGCATATGGGGACTGTGACATCTCTCGACACTGTGGTGCAGTGCAGCGGCATGGACCCCAATGACGACAGTTCTCGGGTGTACAGCCATGCCGAAGGTGGGGGTCCCCGCCCGGAGTCAATGCGGCGCGCCTCTCGTCCGCGGCGACGCCAAGGGCAGAGATGTTGCAGAGCCATTGCTGGGGACTGACGGCGAAAAGCGCTAACTAAAGCCAGCAGGTCGCCCCCCCTCACCTTACGTGATACCGCGGCAGTACCCCGATTCGTCCCACGGGAGGATGTTGGGGCGCGGCTCGAGCCCTGCGCGAGATGCTGTCGCAAGCGATGCGCCCATCCAGTGACACTGGTACTTGGTCTGGGTGCTGCATGGTCCAGGCAACAGCAGTTGGGCCGAGCTGGAGAAGACTGCTCGGGTCGTAGTCTGCAACGTCGGGCGGCGCTGCCGTGCGTGGTCGCGGAGGGCAGCGAGCGGGGTCTGCCAACAGACGTCAGGTACCGTCGTCACCGGGCGCAAGCTCAACCGCCCTGAGAAGCTGGTGGGCCCCGGCAAGCTCGCGTTTCCTCATTTTGGCGTTTCGTTCGGCCAATGCCTCGGCATCAGCGCTGCCACCCTGCTTACTGGGTTGGGTCGCCGTGCCGCGGCTAGCAACTGCACCCGTTCTCCCGAGGAAGGCCACCGCTCGGGCCAACAGTTCGTCGCGCCCTTGTGTTCCATGAAGGTGCGTGCGGGCAAGAAGCAAGCACGGTGCGAGGAGAAACAGCTTCCATGCGCGCGATGCCGGTGTTTCGTCGCGCGCGCGCGTGCACTCCTCAGCTGCAGATGCAGGAAAACATGTCAGGGCATGCGGATGTAATTAGATGGTGGGAGGCCGATGGCTCGGCTAGGAGGTCGCTGAGACGAGGAGGATGCCGGAGCGAAGCCATGCAGCGCCGTGATCCCCTTGGTGGTCCTGACGACGTCGGCAACAGCACGCGGCAATGAGCGGCAGAGGCTGCCGGAATCGCTGCAACACCAACACTCGGAAGTGTGGATCGTCGCCATAACGCTGCACTACAAGAAATATCTTTAGCCCGGTCCACACTGGTCTTGGCGTTTGCAGGGCACACGACATGCGTGCGACCGAAGCTGCGGCCGACATCCCAATACGAGATGAGAGCGCTGAAAACCCAGAGGCTGACAGTGTTGGCCGAGGTAAGAAGCTCGGCACCGACGCGACTGGCGAAGTCCCTGGAAAGATCGCCACGCATGCCGCAGACGATGCAGCCCAACGATTCGAACATGAAAACGCAGTGCACTACACGTGGCTTCAGTGTGAACGCGTCGGTGCTTGAGTGCAGCATAAGCAGCTGCCCCTCTGGGGCTGTTCGAAGTGACGCCCCAACGACGTTCCCCAACTGGGTTGATCATGGCCATGTGCAATCCGGAGCTGCCAGGGAGCTGCGAAAAGGCCGAGTCTCATTAGTCAGGAAGGCGTGACACCAGGGCCGGGCTGACTTGTACCAGGAATTTCTGAGGATTTGACGTCCGACGATGTCCTTTTGGGCCTGGGGGTTTAATGCTCGGGAGGCAAGCACGCCGCATGTGCATGGAGCATGCAGCTCCTCATGGTCTCTGTAAGCGCTCCGCGGCAAGAGCAGCTGCGCGGACCACGCGGGGGGGGGCATGCGCAAACGGCGCAGGCAGGATGCGGTGGGAGGCTCTGCGCTGCCGTCGCGCATGCAAGGCTGCGAGCAGGCGCTCCGCAGCTGAGGGGACTTGGGATTGGATGACCGCAAGGTGTCCATCCAGGACCCGAGATGGACGCCCGCATGTCGGAACCGACAGCGGGCTGCAGCCCGGGTGTGCCGCGAAGTTGGGGCGACTGTTGCCTGCAATGTCTTGGTCCG